GGGAGTCCAGCTGCTCACCCTCAGGGCCATCTGAGCTGTATTCAGGGAGGAGTAGTGGCTATAGCCCCTCAGACCAAAGGTCAGGCTTCAGGGATTTGGAGATTATTTCCATTTCTGATTCTCATACTTTGAAACCACCCATGGCTCCATAACAAAAATAAGTGAGGAGTTCTGAAGAATATGTTTAGGGGCTAGAAGTATTTATTCTGGGAAAAATTAAGTTTAGAAGAGAGATTTTAACCATCTTAATATTTGAAAGGCCAACTTGAGAATCAGATTCTGTTTTGTTACATAGGACAAAAGCAGGAAGTAATTTTTACATGCGAATGCAAAGAGAGAATGGAGAGGGTCAGAGTGATAAAAGGCAGGCAAAACGTTAAGGAAGTTAGACTGAAGTGAGAGAAGACAGCTTTGGGGGGCGCACAAGATTGCAGGTTTGGTCTTTTTTTTATTTAATCTTTTTTATTGAGGCATAAATTACATAAAGCAACATGCACAAATCTTAAGTAGAGCTGGGTGACTTTTCTCTTATGAATACTCCTCTGTGATCACCACCCAGAAGTAACCATTTTTTCTGATCTCTATCACCATATATTCATTTTGCAAACTTCATACAGCCACTTTAGAGCACTTTACCAGTTTAAACATACATCTGCCTTCTGGCTCCGCAATTTCATTTTCAGTTAACATACCTAAGAGAAAAGATTATATAGATAGATAGGTATGAAATATAGGTAGATATTAGAAAAACCATACATGAGAATGACCACAATAGCTTTCTTTATAATTGTCCAAATCTAGAAAGCAATCCAAATAGCCATTAACAAGAGAATAAACATATTGTGGTATATCCACATAATGAAATGCTACTAGCAATAAAAAGAATGGAGTACTGACACCTGCTAAAACACGGATGAATCTTTGAAACATCATGTAGAGTGAAAGGAGCCAGACACAAACGCACACAGGCTATGATTCCAATTGTATGAAGTTTAAGACTGCAGATTTTAAGGAAAGGCTTGCATGACATTTTGATTTTGCATGCCTAAGATACTTAAAGAAAGTTCTTCCCTTTTCATAAAAGAACCATATGAAACACAAGATGGCAAACATGTAGAAGGAAAATTAAACTAATGCCAGCAGCTCAGTTTTGCTTAAGTGAGAAATCTTTATTCAGTATTCCTTGTTTCTGCAATGAGTAATAGAATTATGTGATGTCTCATTACTTCCTTTTATTTCCTCCTTGGATTCTAATTCTTAAGGGGAATTTCTGGCAGTAATGGTAGCTATATGTCACTTAGAAAGACAGAAAGACACTGTATAGAGTTTGTTCATACAAAATTGGACTTAGAATGATTTTGAAAGTCTCAAATTAAAATTTCTGAATAAATTACAAGCAACTTTGGAAAGCAGCTGATTTGTTATTTCCTGCTCAAAACCTCTGATTCTACCATTTTTATCACTACTGTTAGCCATTCTGTTACCCTTATCATTTTGTCCATTTTCCTAGTAGTAAAAGCATAAAATCCCCATGGTAGGCAGACAAATCTATGGAGGTAAAGAACAGATTAGTGGTCACTAGGGGATAGGTATGGGTGGGGAAGGTACAAATAAAGGGGAAGCATGAGAGAGTTCCTTGGAAACAGTTGTGTATTTTGATGGTGGTTGTGGTTACATGAATCTAGTCCAAGGTAAAATTGCCTAGAACCACACACACATAGGAATGCACGTAAATGGTGAAAACTGAACCAGATCTGTAATTGACTTAATAGTACTTTACCAATGTTCACTTCTTGGGTTCTGATATTATTCTATAACTATGTGAGTTGTCACCATTTGAGGGAATCTGAGGGAAGCTTCACAGAACTCTGTGTACTATAGTCACAACTTTCTGTGACCCTATAATTATTTCAAAATAAAAAGTTTCCATAGTATAATAGGCAACAACAACCAAGCCTCAGCCTTTTTTTTTTTGTTTAAATGAAAGAGGTAGTGCTCATGGGACAAGCAGCCCATAATATTTAGCTTTCTGCTAAAGACAGTGTATATGGTGCAGTTCATGCCTGATTTAGTCAGTTATTCAATTAAAAGATGGTTAACAAGTACACACTGCAAAAGGAATATACTAACTTTCATAAAGGTGTATAAATAAATCCACTAGATCTGAGGGCTGGCAGCACTTTGTGTAAGTTTTCCACCTTTGTCTGTCTGTACTGTGTGTCTGGCTCCACCAATGTATTTGCCCATGAACTTGCTTCAGACTGTAGAACAGAATTCTTCCATTTAGCATCAGTTATCTTTTAAGAATTCACTTATTACATGTGCTTGACAGGAAGCTTTGGAAGTACAGATAAACAGTAGAAAAAAATTGCCTATAATTGCATCACCCAGAAATAAAAATTGTTGACATTTGGTATACATAATTCCAGGCTTTTTATCTCTGTGGATGTATATTGCTTTTTAAAAAATATGTGAAATCATAATTTTTGCAAACTTGTTTTACTTTACACCCTTAAGGCTAAATCTTCATGTACAGTCAAAATGTTTTCCCTTAGGATAAAGTCTCAGAAGTTGAATTGCTGGGTAGGCAAAATGTTAAAGCTTTTGATTTATATTACTGAAGATGCGTCATTTAAAAAAATATGTTGTAAACAAAAACCATATTTGAAAACAAGATGCTTTACCTGAAGGGAAGTTTAGGATCAGCTTCTCTATAATGATTCATCCCTCCTTAGAGACAAATTGCCATTACCAAGTACATGTATTGCTTTGACAGAATTAAAAGAAATATTGAAAATATATAAATAATTTATGCAAGAAATTTTTGCTGTTTTTAATTTTTGTTTAATAGTGAGAGCAAAACAATTTGCTAGAGTTAAAAAAAATGGAAATAGCGTGCCACTGGTGGGGAGTGGGGTATTATATTTCTTCCTTTCCCCATTTGATATTGATTAAAATCTATTTTTTGTTTATTTTGTGTTTTAAGCATAATGATTACGCAGATATACCAGCATCTTTACATATAATGAAGGAGTAGGTGTAAAAAAATTTTAAATGGGGAGAATGTATCACAGTAGTTGTAATGTTGCAGAGTTGTGAATGTCCTGTCTATGAGGGTGAGGGGGGCTGGCTCTGGATTAAAGATCACCTTTGATTAGGCATCTCTAATATCCTTCTGGAACACCTCTGTCTTTTTCTACATTTCCAACTGATCCTTTGCTTGATTAGGTAACCTTAAAAACAACCTGCTCTTTCTCATTAAGGAGCTAAATCCTTAACGTCAGGTTTTCTTTAGTTTATCAAGTGAGGCTCCATCTTGTGCTGCTACCTTCGAATGATTTTGACCATTGTTTTCAGTTTCAGCTCCTTTCTAGGACTAGTCATTGGTTCTAATGTCATAGAAGGGTGCTAGGCTGACACAGAAGGAACACAGATCACACCAGGAAGGGTGGATAATTTTTAAATGAAAGGTCTGAACTTAAAAAAAAAAAAAAAAGGTCTGAACTTTCAGGTAGATTGTGTATTTTCTGCAGTTTTTTTTTTTTTTTTAATCTTCCAATAGCAATCAATGAGTGGACCCTAAAAAACAAGATATGATTTCTGGATTGATTTCCCATACTGGGCATGTTTGTATGTTGGAAAAGCAGCAAGACCAATTCATGAGTGTCTTACATTCTTTGTTTTTTCCTTAGTCATAAGCACACCATTTTATACTATGCATATGGTGCTGAAATTTTGTTTGAGTGTAATTTATGAGATCACGGTTACAAAGACCTCTTTCCCTTTCAGTTCTGTATTGTTATTCTATGATTATTTGCATTTTAATAGTTTCATTGAAATTTCCCTCAAAGAGAAATTCCTCATGCTGGAATTGATGGTAAATACTTGTTATTGAATGAGAGATTGTTTTTTTTTTTATGAAATTATTCTCTTCTGCTGCTGTCTTTTGTCTAGTTACGGACTTCATTCCTACTGTAATGTAATTCTTCCTAAGTTGAAGACAGCCCTGCAAGAAACTTGGAGGGCATTCTGGGTGTAAAGAGTTTTGCTAACCTAGAGTGAATTTTGCAGCACCCGGGAATGGCATATTTTTACCTGGTCTGAATTAAGAAGGTATTTCTGTGTCATAGTATTAATTACTATGAGTGTTAAAGAAACACAATTCTAGTATGGAGTAGGATCATAGTTTTAAAACAAAATTTCCCCCCAGAGGGACCACTCTCTTTGAGTTTATCTACTCTCAGTTGTACTCTGTACTTTTATTTCCTTGTAAATGCTCTGTCTGAATCTGGTACCCACCCAACCCCACCATCTGACATTTTCTATACAAATGGAAAGGAGCTGTTTTTCTGGGCAACAAATTAGGCTTCACACGAAAGGGGCTTTATCATGGGTTTGAATAAACAAAAATTTTATAGTTTCCTAAAGATTTCATATATGTGCTCTTATAAATATATATAAAGATTTCTCTTTACATTCTTAAAAAGCTGAATATAAATTTCTTGAAACTTAATGCAAAGGAAATCTGATATAAAGAATTATTTTTAAAATAAATGTATTTATCATTAAAAAATCCAGGTAATTTTTTTTCTTTACTTTATTTAGTATTTCATATGCCTGTTGAGAAATTTTATAAGTAACAGAGGTCCTATTTGCCTTTCTTGCTATCAAGGCTATTTATGTAGTATTTAAATTTATATATTTATAGCTATTCTTTGCTTAAACAAACTCAACAAATGATAAATACATATTTTAAAATAGAAAATGCTAAACAGTCAGTCTGGTGGATATTAAGTGTGCATTATTCACAAAAATATGAGTTACCCTTGGTTTTACATACCACCCTGATACGTAAGGAACAGTAGTGTACTGTATACATTAAAATATTCTTAATTTATGCCTTATTAAACTTACATGATTAAAATGCTAGTGTATTAAAAATCATTGCTCTTTGTTTCAGCAAACTTACAAGAGTTCCTACTCTTTTTTCTCTTTAACAGATATAAGCTTACCAAAGTCGGCAACAATATGCTACACAGCTGCCTTGCTCAAAGCAAGAGCTGTCTCTGACAAGTAAGTGGACAGAACCCTGTGTGGTACTGAACGCCGTTCTGGATGTAGGAGACGCGCTGTCTCTGAGGGCTTTCTCTGGAAGTTTTTCTTAGTCTATGAGACCCCTGCTTATGAGCATGCACTTCCCCAAACCTGCTGATCTTTTCTTTCATTACTGAAAGTAGGGGATGTATATCCCCAGGTACTGTAAGGGTCTGTGGGTCCCTAAACAGGGATTTATTTGAAATTCCGTGCCTCTGAGGTGACTTTTTTTCCTTTTTTTTTCTTTTTTTTCTTTTTTTTGCCAGACAGTTGATATACCAAAAAGGCCTGCTTGGGATCTACACAAATGCCTTCTTTTATTCCTTTTTTTGCATATTCCTCTTCCTCCAGCAGTCCAGGACGGGGTAGTAGTCATAACAAACTTGTCATCTGGCAGAGGGGATGATCGTCTCCCATTCTTTACCCCATCAAGTCCAAATTAACTCCCCACCCAGGCACCGTTTTCCTTGAGTCACCGTCTCAGCGGGACGTTTGCCCCATTTTATTCAGGCAGGTGACTGTGGCATAGAAGATTTCCATAAACACCCGAGATGACTGGGCAGGTGAGAGAGAATAGAGGGCTTACCTGGTTTCGAGTTGCTAAATGCTTACCCGCCCCTGATACATGCCCTCTGTAGCGCTGAGAAGCAGACAACAGGAAAAGAAAACAGCCTCTGCTGTGCCAGACAGGTTTGCTGTTAAGTGTGTGTGCACTTCAAGACCGAAGTAATTTTCTTTCATTCTTTTTTATCCTGTAGATCGCCAGTACCTACTGCAACATCTTTTCTCCCTACACAGCGACTCCAGCTTGGGAGGGCAGGGCCAGGGTTGTCACAGCTTCCCCTGTGGTGTCTGCCTGCCAAGCACAGCTCTGGAGTTAGCCCTGGGTGTGAGGTGAGAAAGAGATTGCATGGTCTGGTTTTTTTCATTCACTCGGGCAGGTGTCTCGCCCGCAGTTTCGGCATGCACACTCCCCTGCCGGAACGGCCCCAAGCAGGCTCGCCTGCTGCTGGAGCTGCAAGACTTAACCCTCCATCGCAGCACTGACATGGGGTTGGGAGCCTCCTTTAAAATTCTCCCTAGTTCTGTTTTTAACCAAGTGCGCTCTTCTGTAACCTAGTTTTCTCTTTTTCCTACACTGTCTGCCCTTGTCAGTCCTACTCTCTTCCCTGACCTAAGCAGGTACCTCGTAGAAAACTTAGATTAGCTATTTAGACAGTGAGACTTGACAGCTGAATTTAATTCCTGCCTTGATTAGATGCAAGCACGCTTTCTGCTTCTGCTGGGGTTTTTGTTGGCCTCGGTCTGAGGGGTCACTCAGAGGTTCTGTATAGTGGAGGTTTGGAGAGCTCACGCCTCTGGCTCGCTGTGGTTTTCGGGGCCCTTGATGTGTAGATGCCTTTCCGGGTTAATGCCCAAGCAGTGGTCCCAACTGGATGGTGTTTGTCTTTCTGCATTTCAGATTCTCTCCTGAGGCTGCATCTCGGCGGGGGCTGAGCACAGCAGAGATGAATGCAGTGGAGGCCATCCACAGAGCTGTGGAATTCAATCCTCACGTGCCAAAAGTGAGTCTGTGGAATCCCCATAGGAACTCGTTATGATAGCCGTGAAAGTGTTCTGTGACCATAATGTCATGTATCGAATACTCTCAGTTACAGAAAAAAAGAATTGCGACCAATGAATGTTGAGGCCCTGTATGGTCTATGTTTATTAGCCTCATTTTTAAGCAAAAGCTGCATTCAAGAGGCTTTGGGGCCCATTTCGGGCTTCATATAATAAGGGTAAATTGATAGACCTAGCTTAGGCAGGCCAGGTCAGGAAGTCTGAAATTGGCGAAATATGGAGATTCCAAGGGTGCTGATGCATTTGATAGGAATTTCACACCAGTTATAGTCTTACTTAGATGCAACTTGAGAAATTAGCCTTGTTATGAATAAAAGTGGTAAAAAAAATACTAATATGACATTCTTTATTTCTGTAAATAAATGATAGTTAATCATTATTGGCAAGTAAGTAATAGGGAAAACCTCAAAGTAGGATGTAGTTTTCTTTTGACTTGTGAGTGCCATTTTAATGGAGGGATACATAGTGGGAAACGTTTGTCTTACACATGCGGACCAATTTATAAACATGCACTATTTCCCATATGTTTTTTCGGAATTTGCTTTTAAGGGACTCAAATCATGGCAGAGGATGGTTCTGTAATCGCATATTCAGGAGAGGCATGTGTATTTGGGATTTACCTGTGTTCGAGTACCTGCTTTGTGATAGGCAAGTCGCTGAGGGCCATTTTGAGTTTCTTGTTATTATAAAGCACATTTCAACCTCTAAGAAACTATTCCTGCGGTGCACAGCAGGTACCACAAGATAGTTTTCCTAGCAGAATGTCTGCTGAAGACTCTCATTGGTGAAAAATGACAAAGGAAGGCCATTGCCTTGTTTTGTTGCAGTACTGTAGCGAAAGGGTGGGGTTGGGTGTGTGTGTGTGATGATTTATGGAGTTACCTACTTTAATTTATTTTGTTGATATCCAGAGTGACAGAGATAAGTGATCTAATATCATTCCTGAGGTTTTACTCAGGTCATGGTCATCTTTTCGCAAAACAGGAAATTAAAGAGCCGTGCACAGTGCCACATTTGCAGGAGGATGTATTTATCCACTTTAGTTCCAGTGGGTAATGACCAACATGGTATTTGTAGACTTCGGTATTGTAGAAAATATATCTCTTTGTTTAATGTTTTTCAGCTAAATTAAAAATGTTTATTCAAATTTGATTAAAATGTAAAACTAATCATGAAAATATTGCCCTGAATTACAGTAAACTTAGGTCATCAATTAATATTTATTGAATGCCATTCTCTAACTACAGAGCTATTCTGTGAGCATAAATAAGGCTCTTTTAAAAGTGTATTGGGCAATAGAGTCCTAAATTCTGAGACAAAAACTTGGGTTCAAGTTTGGCTCTATCATTTACTAGTCATGAGATTTTGGGCTTAGCATCTCTGAACTCAAAGTTTTCCCTCATCTTCCAAATAAAGATGAAAATATAAGCCTTATCTTCTGTGATAAAGATCAAGTGAGATAACATATTCAAAGTTCTTTGAAAATATTTGCGTACCACATGTTAGTAAATTATTAAAATTATTGATATTTGGCTGTCGGCAGTTCCTCAGGTGTGGGACCCAAGTCTTAATTTTTCCAGTTGTACCAACCCGAGCCTTGTAATCTTGGGACACAAGACAGAAAACTGGAACAGTACTTGTTGGTTAGATATTTTAATTGAAGCCGTTGTTTAATTCTAGATGATGGTCTTAAATGTTTGAGCCTCCAGAAGAGTAGGAAAAGCCCTAAGAGATAGCTTAAAGCTGCCATTTGAATTTGACTGTCAACTAGCATTCTGCCTGCAAAATGGAAGTCTTGAAAAAGTGGAAATCATTTGAAAGAGCTGGAATAATATGATTTCATACTACTTTCTAATCATTAGCGAGAAGGTGGGGCGTGTCAGTAAACCGATTCTTTACCACCTTGCTTTGTTGGTGATTGTGCTGGGTGGGAAACGTGTTTCCATATCCTCTTCATTTGTTGACGCTTCTGTGGGGGAAAAACACTGTGAGTCACTGGCCTCGTATGTTCAGAATTAATCGCCAGCCCCTGGTACGCGTGTACCATACGCAGGCTGCTGTAAACATCGTGTATGCTTGTCCTGCTGTTTGTTGGACTGCTTGCTAATGCTCTAGTAAACATGCACTCACACACACGTGTCTGTACACTGGTGCCTTTTCAGGCAGAGAACAGCCTTAATTCTAATGAGACATCAATGGAGGATATAAACACTTAGACTTTCAGTGTAAGGGACCCTAAATGTATGTAGGACACCTTCCCATTTTAAGCTTAAACCTCTCTTCGTAAAGATACTATGATACTTTTTAAAATTATTGACTTCTATTAATGTTTACTATGTGCCAAGCACAGTGCTGACTGAACTGCATATGCTTTCTCATTTATTTTTTATAACACAATGAGGTGTATCATATTATCATTCGTGCTGCATAGACGTGGGCACTGCAGGTTTGGAGAGGTTAGGTAATCTGCTCATGGTCGCACAGTGAGTAAATGACAGAGCCTGAACTGACTCTGGGTTATCCAGCTCTTAAACATCTCCCTCTACTGCTCCCAGATCCCACTATGTGGCAGACGAGCCTAGACCTGAACCTTCAAGTGATGGTGGCCACATCGCTTCCCAGGGCACTCAGTTCCTTGTGGACAATTCACATTTCTTCAGGATATTATCATGTCTTAAATACTTCCATAGCTTCTTTTTCCTCTTTCACAGGAAGTTGTCAGTGGCCCACTACAGGAATTTTCAGTATTCACGGCACTGTACTTAACTATAGTCTGCTTGGAAGGAGAAAAAATACCAAATAAAACAACTGTGAACTGCCTTCCATAAGTTTCCAGCTTAGTTCCAACTGGTATCCCAGTAAGCAAATGTGCATAGTTGATGTTTCAACATCCAATGATAAACATCAGTTATTTACCCCAAGAGAGTTACTCCTAGGAACACTCTTCACCTGCAGACATGAGGGGAGTGTTGCTGGAAAATGAATAACAGGAGTGAAAAACTGTGCATCTCTGGTCTGAAGGAGAGCTGCTCAAGTCGCCAGAGTCTAAACACAATGATTTCTGAAGCCTTAGGTTGCAGCAGATTGCAGCATACAAGGAGAAAGCAGCCCACAGACTCATATTACAGATCGAATTGTGTCACTCCCTCCCGAGGAGGCGCAGCTGAGTTCCCAGCCCTGCAGGAGGTACCAGACCCCTGGGTAGTTCCTTAGGACCCCTCGTCATTTGACCCAGCTTGTTTTTCAGCTCCTTCTAACAGTCCGCTCATTGTTCCAGAAGTGTTCCTCTCCTCTTCCCTCTCTGCTTCCTCTGAGGGAGTCCTCCTCATTCTCCACCCTCACCGTGACACTGACCACCAGGAAGCCTGTACCCTCCTTGTCCCAGGGTCAGCCTCCCCGCTCTGGTGTCTCACTGTAGCGCGTTGAGTATGTACTTACTATTCACCTCTCCTGGAGGGTGACTGGGGTGTTAGGATCTTAATCACGCTGGTGATTTTCAAGAACTGAGTACACAGTTCAAAGAGACAAATCTTTAAACCATTAGAGGAGTTTTCCATTTAATGTGATTAAAGTAGGAGTTTGGCATTTAAAGAGAGTTTCTCTACTTTTTTAAAGAAAGTTTCACTCGTAATGCTGGATGAATGAAGGGCTAAGCTCATCTCGGTTCTGTCTTCATCTACGTACTGTTAATATGGTGTTGCTATTGGATTTCTAGCTTCAGTTTTTTCATTCTGTTTTCCCTGCAGATGTGCTTCCCCTCCTGCCCTGCTCTTCTTGCTCAGCACTGAGGAGGTTTACATGGGATGGGGCACATTTCTATCTGTGATTCATTACTGTACACAGATCTCAGTTAATTAGCACTTATGTTCTTTTAGTGTGCTCGTCTGGCATTCCCAGGTTTCCCTGTGAAGAGACATTTTTGGCTTGGAAGATGTTGCATTAACCCTTTCAGGGTGCTAAGAATGAATTTCATTTTGACAAATTAAAAAAAAAAGACTTAATATTGGCTTGTTACAAGCAGTAGTAGATACGTTTTTTCCCCTCTGTAGTGGTATTCTAAAAAAATTAAACTTTTTACAATAGAGAAAAGTATAAAAAAAATCATTCATAATCCCATCAAATCTAGTCATATTTAAGACTACTTTCTTCTAACCTTTTTTTCCTATGCATTTTTGATACTTAGGAATCATAATCACACAACATATTCATATTTTTAAATATTAACATGAAACTCTTGACTTGGACTTTATGGTTGGGTATTGGGGTATATTCCTTCATGAGGATGATCAGATTTTCAGAGTTCTTTGACCTTAGAAAGGGTATCCTCTATTACCATTAAAGTCCAAATATTTCAGCCATGTGCCTTCAGACACTTTAAAATATTCTCAGTAACTTTTCTGGATGATTTACTTCCTTTTTGTCATAAAAAGGGAATAACATAAAATCTACCCTCTTAACTAATTTTTCGGCACACAGGATAGTGTTGTTAACTGTAAGGACATTGTTGTACAGCAGATCTCTAGAACCATTTCATCTTGCATGACTAAAATTTTGTACCAATTAAATAGCAGCTCCACATTTCTCCCTCCTCCAAGGCCCTGTAACCACCATTCTGCTTTCTGCTTCTATGAGTTTTACTGCTTTAGCTACCTTATATAGGTGGAATCATGCAGTATTTGTCCTTCTGTGACCAATTTATTGCACTTAGCATAATCCCTCCAAGTTCATCCATATTGTAGTATAAAGCAGGATTTCCTTTTTTACAACTAAATAGTATTCCTGTGTGTGTCTGTGTATACCACGTTTTGTTTATCTAATCACTTCTTGGCTATTGTGAATAATGCTGCAGTGAACATGGGAGTGCAAATCTCTTCAAGATTCTGTTTTCAGTTCTTTTTGATGAATCCCTGGAAGTGGGTTGCTGAATCATAGTTTTAATTTT